CAAGGGTTCTTCCACTTTCCTCCGCTTTTCGAGGACTTGGTTCTTCACCACGAGCCTCACGTCTGGAAAGGCACATCAAAGGTTATGCGCAACAATTTATAACCGAAGTTACGATAAAGAAAATAATATTTAAACTATGTAGGAAACTATGTGGGCTTGTATACTAATACAACCTATGTACAGGTATGTCGAAACGTCAACGAGTATTAAAGGAACTTTTGTATACTAATACAACCAATGTATTTGAAACATCAACGCGTAGCAAAGGAACTGAGCATACCAGGCAATGAGAGTTGAAAACGGAATGCTGCGCACGAGTTGCGACTCAGTCTTATAAAGACGAATCAGCACTGCTATTTCTTCAAAAATTTAACAGAAAAAAATGTCCAGCAAAATTTTCCAACAAATAACCGCCTCGCAAGCCGCAGATTTCAGACCAACCTCAAAGATTGCATTTCTAGCGAAGGCTGTTAGGCACTAACAGTAATTTGTTCACTATGCAATATAAATTCCAATAAACTCAGGAACGGCTTGAGTAATTAACTATAATTACTCTATTCTAATTACAAGCTTTACAGCATCTACCACAACACACGAAATAGATACAACAAAAGAAACGGAATTAGCAATAAGAGTAGCAGTAACAAAAGCAGGATAACCATCAGCGGCAGCACCAAACTTGCAGACTTTAATAGCAGCAGCTGCATAAGCCTTGCATATGTTTTCCGTGTAGTGTTTGAGCAAACAGCAGCAGGCGAAGAGTGTGTTTGCGTTGCCAGCGTTTGTGCCAGCAAATCGGGCCGGACTTACTGAAGGCATATGCACAAAAATACCCAATAATGGCTAAAGTCAATAGGGCTTTTAACGCGTCAAGCCATCAAGTGAATAAAGTGACCAGTCGGGACGCCCGTTCGAAAGTAGATGCGACGTCAGTTCAATGCGTTACATTTAATTAAAATTTGACACATTTAATGCCAGGCGTTTTTGTGATACCGTTTGATGCCCTGGCTGGTGGGCATAAAAATTCACATAAATTTGAATTTGCGGAGGTAGTACGAAAAGGTATTATAAATCTTCGTAGTATTCATGTCATGATTTTCAAGAGGTATGACATTTACTGTATGACCAGGGACGAAGCGCAGTAGGAAAATTAATAAAACACATTAAAACGTTGAAAAAAATTTGATACAATATGATTCAGCAACTTAAACGATGGCTCACAAAGTTATTACTTATTGTAAAATTTATTCAATAGCATCATCAGCATCAATTCGGCTGTCTGAGCCACAAATACCTCTTTAATGCCCGTATTAGGATTCATGTGCGTGGAAGGGGGCGATGGTATGTATGGAATGACAGTCTGATGATTGGTGATTAGCATAGACATGATAACGCAACTTCAAACACAAATACGGATACGTGGTATAAGTTTTCGGAAGGAGATTTCAAGATACCATTTATGTTTTAATTAGCATGCTTTTGAACTAAGTTTTCATCCTTTGAAGCCCTCTGCCTTCGGTTTTTCTTCGTTGCGCGTGTTGTTTTGGTTGCTTGTGCCGAGACTGGCTTCACAGCAAGACGGACGATACTGAATTGCATTAATTCGAGACCCAGCACATCACATGCAGGATTAGTCTTAATTATTTTCTGCTTGCCAGCAGTGATTTTTTGCAAAACAATTTTAGGGAGATTGATCGAATAGCGTTCATTTATCATACAACAATTCCCGCAACAATTATCATAAATCTTTTTGTCAAATACAACTCATGTGTCGGCGGGAATTTTTACTAAAAATAACTGATTTGATTCAAGTGTTTGATGTTGGCTGGCCAAATGGATTGACAGGACACAGTACATACCATTTATTGATTATCACGTTTATTTACGCTTACTAAACGCTCAACAATAGCACAGTATTTAGCTGGGACAAGTCCAGCTTAAATTCCGTTTTATAGTATAAGTAAGCAATACTTTTTCACAACGCTTCTTAGTGATTGATCTCTGTATACTTTGATGTACAAATAAGTTTGCTCGTTACAAATAGCGCTTTATAAACTTGCACAGGTCGTATGTATAATTGCTTCACTGACTGAACTTCCTCATTGGTTGAAAATGTTTTGATGATTGCTACAGCATTTAGAACTCACCTATACTCACATAAATTGCCGTTTTTGACCTTGGAAATATAATCACAATCTAATTTCTTTAGAAACATGTGCATAATCTTATTAGTTTCACCAAGTAAGTACAATCTTATAGCTACTTTCACAACACAAATTACATATTGATGAATGACTACATGGAATATAAGTGCTCTTGCATTAATACTCATTTCCCCTTGCAAATGGCGAGGTGAAGTAATAAATTGGCGATGTGTTGTTTTAGATTGGCGAGGTGAAGTGATAAATTGGAGAGGTAAATTTATAAATTGGCGAGGTGAAGTAATAAATTGGCGAGAAGTAACAAATTAGTGAGGTGAAGTAATAAATTTGCGAGGTGAAGTAATAAATTTGCGAGGTGAAGTAATAAATTGGCGACGTGAAGTAATAAACAGGTGAGGTGAAGTAATAAATTGGTGAGGTGAAGTAATAAATTGGTGAGATGAAGTAATAAATTGATGAGGTGAAGTTATAAATTGGCGAGGTGAAGTAATAAATTGGCGAGGTGAAGTAATAAATTGGCGAGGTGAAGTAATAAATTGGTGAGATGAAGTAATAAATTGATGAGGTGAAGTTATAAATTGGCGAAGTGAAGTAATAAATTGGCCAGGTGAAGTAATAAATTGGTGAGGTGAAGTAATAAATTGGAGAGGTGAAGTTATAAATTGGCGAAGTAAAGTAATAAATTGACGAATTGTAATAAATCACTAACATTGCAATCTCACAAATTTTTCCCAGTATAGAGAAAAATTTTTCCACCAGCAACGTTGATATCTCACTTACGCCGCGTGCAATTCTGCGGAGTTGTACGAAACACGAGTGCAATGAAATCAAGAGCGTAACGTTGTAAGAAAAATGTTTTCAAGCTTCATTTATGCCAGCATTAAGATTACTTAAATATCAACATTGTCATTCGGTGTCAAAATTGAATGCGTCCTGTGTTATTCGTGACTAATTTTTTTCTGTTTCTACATGGATAAGATGAGTTGTTATGTGTAACTCTTAATAAAATAATTCTGAAATCTAATCTTTTCGTCGCATTATCGCTGTTATGCGGCAAATGCATTTTGGACTAAAAATAAAACATGAAAACAAAATTAATAGGTATTGTACATTTAATAATCTAGATTAGAATAAATAGTGGATTGTAATCAATACGTTCTACATAAGATCTAGATTATTTTGTAGTTGAAGTTAGCAGGGGCTTTGTTATTCACTTCTGATCTTCATGTCTCAACAGCTGCTCGCAGCTCCATAGTGTAGTTCAACAGAGTTGAGGTATTGAGTGCAACTTTTCGACTGTATCTACATTTAATGATGAGGCAGCATAAGCTGGATGGAGTAGCCTGCATGAATTTTATCCACACATTCATCTGACTTGCCAGCTTCATGCCGCAGCGCAGATCAGATGTGCTGAGTTGGCTCGGTAAAGTTAGTCGAACTCTGGCAATCTGCATCGAAATGACTCGCCGGCTCCTCACTCCAACTTTGCTTGGACAAATCCAACCATCACAGGATGCACTGCTGGCCGCACGTATAAGGGCCTAATGATATTGACTGTCGTGTGCATTTGCTAATCAAGCTTAATGTAACGCTGCTCTTCTGTACCTGCTTTTGATTCGTCTAGCGCAATCTGGGAGCGAGATGAAGTTCAGTGCTGCCAATGAAAGTGAACATTTAACACCGCATGTGAAGTATTGTGATAATTTTTAATGATGTCTAGACGACGACCTCGATAGTTGTTCCTTCCGTTGCAGCCACCGCTCACGCGAGCCTAAACAAGCTCAAGGCATTAATTACTTCGAAGAATCATTCATAATTCAGTATTAACCTATCATTTCAATTGCTTGTCTTCTTCTAGAATACAAAACTGTTATTATCTAAGGAACACTCATTCTGGACGAAGTGTTTTGCGTGTTGCTCAGTTTAGATACTTGATGCACTTTATGAAGCGATACAAGCACACAAACTCTCGAGGGTATAGCGTCATGTTACTCGATCAAGCAACTTCTGAAGCTAATGAACGGCTTTAATTTTGACAGCTGCTTCAAGTTCCCTTTAAAAGTGTCCTTATGTAAACTGCGTGATACTGCTAGGTCATCGTCCGTACGCATCGCTCAATTAACCAAAGTTGCCTGCTTCATTCCAACCATGAGGAGTTCTTGGGTAACTGTTACAGTTCGAGCCCTTGCCCTTAATATTGTGTATCTTACATGAAATGTTGCTTGATTTAACGTTGTCTTACATGAGAGTGTTGGTCATCCTCCTATTCTACGGTTGGTTGGTGTATGATCATCCGATGAAACGGGTGATTAACGAAGGTTCATACATGCATTATACACCTAAACTTACATAAATTCAAGAGGTGTACAATGATTGTACATGGAAGCAGTGAGGATGCTTTGGCATTTATTCGTCACTCACTGGATTCTGAATGGCACTTCAATGTACGTTGCCATCAAATTAACTCTGTACAAAAAAACATCGGTTATAAGACCTACTCCGAGACATGGAATATCCAACACACTTTCCATCTCTACACTAAAGATTTTACTCTAGAGTCACGCAGTTCTGGTGTACCTGTTCATCCACTACACACTCAAGAAAATAAGTTTGTTATAGTCTCCAAAAATGGACCCATTTTCTACACGTTGCCCTAAAATGATATTTTTCAGGGACAAACTGGGCCAGAATTGGTCATCCCATAACCCACCATCCTTCCTGCAAATATTTTAATTTTTTTATTCGGGTGCCTAAGTTTAAAATGTCTGTAATGTAGCTATGATCGACTGAGATATTTATTTTCTTTATTTGTAACAACATATCACTTTTTTCCAACAGGCGCCAAAGTGCACGATGGCAGGAATGTGGCAGTGGCTTGCAGGCATGTGGCTACTAAGCCAGTTAGCCAGTGGCACAATAACCTGTAACCGTCAACCGTATCACTCGCACTCCGAGAAGACGCCAGGCGACAACGGCTACAAGATTAAGATCAGCGGCAACCCTGAGAAATATGTCCCGGGGGAGGTGTACACAGGTGAAGTCAAATGATGTTATAGCTTATAAGCAAATAGTTATATAAGTTATTTTCATAGATTTCCTCTCCTCTCAAAAAATTGTAAGCACACGAAGTTATTTTCATAGATTTAATCTCCCTTCAAGTGGCTGAGATTATATTTTAGAATGCTTTTAATATATAAATAAGTGTTGTCTCGAGCGAGGTGCATTTCTATTTAACGTCTGATATATTCAATTGAAGATATAGAGAAATTTTTTAGGATTTTCAAAATGAAAATAGTCCGCAAATATTTTCGTGCAAATGTGAATTATGGAATATGATTTAATAATATCTGACAATTTGTTAATTGACCTGACCTTTTGAAAAATTAAAGACACGTATAGTCGTGCTTATCATATTCGTTTTTTTCTCAAAAGCAGCAAGATTATAGTATACATTTACTCTCAACCCATAATAGAACTTGAAATCTTAGCTTAATATATCCATCAATTGCATTTTGCATCGCCAGGCTGGTTTTGCTGTTGCGTCCAGCGCCCAGTTAACTTCAAAATTCACTTTTCTTCAGAGGCTAATTTATGATAATTTTTCAAAAAGTTTACGTCAATTCGTTACAATTTAGAAAAAAATTGAGCCTTTTTTCAAGTTATAGGTAGGTTGAAGTTCGCTCTCGTACATTAAAAATGGTGGAAGAAAATTATTTGTGATTCAGGAGTGAGTTTTAGCTTCGTCAAAGGTATTCAAAGCTTGAAGTTTTACTTACGAAATTTTGGGGTAGGTTGAATCTTACAGCCTTTATATATATCAGATTGTTGAGCTATATCAATCTTAATTTAGAAGTATGCCATTTTAAGAAGTTGATAATTTGAGGCCAAATTCGAATAGAATTCTTGGTTTTTTAGACGAGTAGGATCTTGCCCATAATATGTCGGAGTAAATTGAATGTTAGTAGTGTTCTCCGTAGACTTATTAAGATGTGGTGGGTTTGACTTGGGGGGGGGGATCTGGCAGTTGGGATAACGTCATGTGGTGGAGCTTAGGTGATTTCACTGAATTCATTCATTCAATGCTTTGTTATGTAGGTCTAAACAAGGTGAATTTTTTCCTTCTCTGGCAATTTAAATGAAATGAAACACATTGATTGCATTCGAGAAACTACCAAGTTATTTATCGATGGATATTTGGAATGAGTTAGTCAATTACCAAATGATGTTAACAGTCGGATAAAACTGTCTGAGCTCCTCCGAAACCAGCTAGCCGTTTGATAAACTACTAAACTAACCTCAACATGGACATATATTCAAAAATAACTGTCATCTATAGGGAATAAACGAAAACAAAATACACAAACAATATTGAATAAACAAAGGTTTAAATTTTCATTGAAAATGCTCTATTTTCGCTTTAGTTTGCCGTAAGATGAAAAGCTGCTAATGAACAACTACACGGCGTTTCCGTGTACAATTATGTAATAAATTCAAATGGAAAATGGCAACATTCTTGCAAAGCAGAATGTAATTCTGTTTCCTTCTCTGACTCCATTTAAATTGAGTCATACATTGATTGCATTAGAGAAACTACCAAGTCAAATGGGATGGATAGCAATTCTGTAATTCTGTTATTGGCCAGCTAACATTTTGCATATTCCCTATAAGATGATAGACTTTAGTTCTATAAGCTCCAACTAATAGGCATTGTTTCCAGTAAAAATATTGACATCTAGTTCGCTCGTTACTTAATCTAGCTATTGTTGACGTTCGTTCTACACTTTAAAACACAAGAAGCTTAAGTATATAAGTCTCAACCTTACTGATCGAGCCTTTACTAGAACAACTCAAATACTGCAGGCGAGTGTGCAAATGATCTTAAAATGAATTTTACAGAAAATTTAATAAATAGTGGCCATTAATGGAGTGAATCTAAAAATGATAATGATCTTACACATCATTTGGAGGGACGTCAATACATTACTAGATTGCAATTTTAGAACAAACATATCACATATTTACTAGAATTTACTGTGCTAATTCAATGATAGATTTTTTATTACTATTTTTTACCCGCAAGAAAACAATTTTATGGCCAATTTATAAAGTCGTATAAAGTTTATGTCATATCTTGCTTTTTATTGATGTCATTTAAAACAGCAAACCTGGCTACCTGACATACTTCAGATGCGCAGTTTATTTGCAAATCATCCACTAGTCAAAACCAGAAATGTTCACCTGTAATGGTATAAAAACTCTAAATTAATAGGATTGAAGACCTTGTCGTTGACGTAAATAATTTCCTCGCCAAATCTTTAGTATGAAATCAGCGAGCTACAGGCGTCTCTTAATTGGCTCTAAGCTTCTATTGTTGTCGCATGCTGCCTGTTTACTGAGCGAGGCTCTGCTTTGTCTTCTTTGTTTGTCTTTTGTCTTTCAATGTTATTGTTTTGCGACGCTCTGCTTTGTCTTCTTTGTTTGTCTTTTGTCTTTCACTTTTCTTGTTTTGCAGCGCTGTGTTTTGTCTTCTACGTTTGTCTTTTGTCTTTCACTACTCTAGTTTTGCACGGCTGTGCTTTGTCTTCTTTGTTTGTCCTTTGTCTTTCACTTTTCTTGTTTTGCAACGCTGTTTTTTGTCTTCAACGTTTGTCTTTTGTCGTTCACTACTCTTGTTTTGCGAGGCTGCGCCTTGTCTTCTTTGTTTGTCTCTTGTCTTCCACTTCTCTTCTTTTGCGAGGCAGTGCTTTGTCTTCTTTGTTTGTCTTTTGCTTTGAACTTTCTGTGCTTTGCGACGCTGCGTTTGTCTTCTTGTTTATATTTTGTCTTAAGCTTTCCGTGCTTGTCGACGCTGCGCTTATTCTTCTTGTCTATATTTTGTCTTAAACTTTCCGTGTTTTGCGACGCTGCGCTTTGTCTTCTTTGTTTATCTTTTGCCTTAAACTTTCCGTGCTTTGCGACGCTGCGCTTATTCTTCTTGTCTATATTTTGTCTTAAACTTTCCGTGCTTTGCGACGCTGCGCTTTGTCTTCCTTGTTTATCTTTTGTCTTAAACTTTCCGTGCTTGGCGACGCTGCGCTTTGTCTTCTTGTTTATCTTTTGTCTTAAACTTTCCGTGTTTTGCGGCGCTGCGCTTTGTCTTCTTGTTTGTCGTCTTTTGTCAGCTCCTGCAGCGCCCCTGCCGTATTGCGGTTGTGATTGCAGGTCACCTATTTGCCTAACAGTTCCTAAGGAATAAAAAAAATACTAATTAATTCGCCATGTATTCATTAAGAACGTTTCGTAAAAACTTCATCATTAGCTAAAACATACGAGAATAGAAATCAAGTAAACTCAACGTTGAAATTAAAACTATACACGAATGAGATTATAACCTAAGTAACGAGAAAACGACAAGTGGAACATAAAAATCTATCGATTTATAATTTCAAGAGGATAAGAACTGTGCGTGTTCGTAAGACAGGGTTCCCCCTAAGAAATATGCGAACCAAAAGAGCTCGAAGAGTATCTTGAAATCACTCTCAGATACAGTCACGTCGCACTGTACAGCTTGAAGGCGCATAGCACGGTGGGAAGGCTTACAGAGTGGAAGATCCGAAAAAATTTAATCTTTTAAAATGGTTATTTAAATATATATCTCAATTGTTGTTATCTCTAACTTCATTGTCGTTTTCTCTATCGATAATATCGTTATCACTATCGCCAATATCGTTATCACTAATTATCTGATCTCTATTTCTATCATCACTATCTCTATTATCTCTATTTCTATCCTCACTATCTCTATTATCTCTATTTCCATTATCACTATCTCCATTATCTCTATTCATATCATCTCTATCTCCATTATCTCCATTCATATCATCACTATATCCACTATCTCCACTAATACAATCTCTCCCAACCCCCCCAGTGAGCCTGCAGGGCTGGCGCACGCACTACTCAGTGCAGAAGTTCACAGGGTTCATGTTGGTGGTGGACAGCGTCTCGTCAGCTTACCCCAGCATATATGGTCCCCAGAGCGTCGGAACCTTTCAGGTAACTGCCACCTGCTACACGTGCCTGCTACATGCGTCTGCTACACGCGTCAGCTACACGCGCCTGCTACATGCGTCTGCTACACGCGCCTGCTACACGCATCTGCTACACGCGTCTGCTACACGCGCCTGCTGCACGCGCCTGCTACATGCGCCTGCTACATGCGCCTGCTACACGCGCCTGCTGCACGCACCTGCTACACGCGTCTGCTACATGCGCCTGCTACACGCGCCTGCTACACGCGCCTGCTACACGTGCCTGCTACATGCGACTGCTACACGCGTCTGCTACACGCGTCTGCTACACGCGACTGCTACACGCACCTGCTACACGCGACTGCTACACGCGCGCCTGCTACATGCGCTTGCTACACGCGTCTGCTACACGCGCCTTGCTACACGCGTCTGCTACATGCGCCTGCTACATGCGCCTGCCTCTCGCGCCTGCTACACGCGCCTGCTACACGCGCCTGCTACACGCGTCTGCTACATGCGCCTGCTACACGCGCCTGCTACACGCGCCTGCCTCTCGCGCCTGCTACACGCGTCTGCTACATGCGCCTGCTACATGCGCCTGCTACATGCGCCTGCTACATGCGTCGTCTACATGTGCCTATAACATGCGGCTGCCAAACGCGACTGCCACACGCGACTGCCACACGCGCCAGCCACGCGCGCCTGCTTGACGCACACATGCTACACACGCGCCTGCCACACGCACCTGCCTCACGCGCCTGCTACACGCGCCTGCTACACGCGCCTGCTACACGCGCCTGCCTCTCGCGCCTGCTACACGCGTCTGCTACATGCGCCTGCTACATGCGCCTGCCTCTCGCATCTGCCACGCGCGCCGGCCACACGAACCTGCTACACGCACCTGCTACACGCACCTGCTACATATGCCTGCCACACGCGCCTGCCACACGCACCTGCTTCACGCACCTGCTACACATACCTGACACACGCGCCTGCCACACGCGCCTGCCACGCACGCCTGCCACACGCGCCTGCTACACGCACCTGCTTCACGCGCACCTGCTACACATTTAACGCTCGGTTAACTTGTTATTACTTATTCTACATAAAATATCTAAATGAGTTGCTACCTCCTGAATGGCGTACGATATGAATGAGAATTGTGTATAATAGCTAAAGAGATCAGGATAATGAGAACTTTGGGAACCAACGCAAGAAATGTATTTTCATTGTGTGCTCCTGAGATTTATTTTGAAATTCCGCTTAACGATTTCAATACGCGGCCTAGCTAATGGGATGCCATTCTCTCCGTATCCGCAGGTCTTGGGAACTTCGCCTTTCCTGGTAGTGATAGTTATTATTCCTGAACCTAATTTCGATCACTTTAAAACATAGATTTAATATCTTGCAGATATAGCTTATTAACCTTCATACTATCCCTTTCCATGCTGACCACTTTCCATGCTCATATGTTTACTGCCCCCTTCCATGCTCATATGTTTACTGTCCCTTTCCATGTTCACATGTTTACAACCCCCTTCCATGCTCATATGTTTACTGCCCCTTTCCATGTTCATATCTCATTCATCGTCACCTGCACTTGACGGATTCATTCATTTTGCTCGACGCTCGCATTCATTTTGGCTGCGCCGGTTTTTGAAGGTCTTTCATTTTTGCCAACAATCGCTCCTACTATTGCAGATTCTGAAAAAGTATTGTGTTCTTCTGAGGAAAATATCATAAGCCTCTTGCATAATTTGAATACTCCACGAGACTCGCGTGATGCAAGCCCTCCGAAAAGCTCAGTTTTTGACTGCTCAAATACAAAAACTTGGAAAACGATTTTTTGCGGAAATATAAAATTAAAAATTTTTATTTCAGTTCGTCAGCATGCGAAGAGACAAAAATTAGGAGGTGCCAGAATTTTAATTAATCACGTAGGTTTATGGAAAATAATTTATTGTGTCAACTTTTTAGAAGTGAAACTCGTGCATCTTATAGCGCAGCAGTCACTGATATGTAAGGGTCCATCACCAGACCCAGGGTCGCCAGCGATAAAAATCTCATCAATATCATAGGGAATTAAAAATATTGACTTTCAAGGATTTTTTCTAAAAAAAACCATTAGCGAGTTACCAGCGGAAATCATTTGCCAATTAGTGGACGCCGGGAAACCAGCCAATTACAAGTTTGGCAATTTCTTCAATATAACTCGTGTCCCAGATTCTACTGAAAAACAATGAACTTTGAAGCTAACATTTCAAAGTTTTTATTACAGTGCAAAAGTTTGGCTACTAATAGACTTCGAGACGCTTTTGTCTGTTCATTGGAATATATTGTCAGAGTCTCTTAGAAGCGATGACAATGGCAGTGTCTTCGTGTGGGATCCGGCGGTCAGTATCTGGCGGTTGGGTTCTGGTGGTTAGGATCTGGCGGTTGGAATCTGGTGGTTAGGTTTTGGCGGTTGGGTATCTGTCGGTTGGGATCTTGTGGTTGGAATCTGACGGTTGGGATCTGGCGGTTGGGATCAGGCGGTTAGGTTCTGGCGGTTAGGATCTGGTGGTTGGAATCTGACGGTTGGGATCTGGCGGTTGGGATCTGGCGGTTAGGATCTGGCGGTTGGGATCTGGCGGTTGGGATCAGGCGGTTAGGTTCTGGCGGTTAGGATCTGGCGGTTGGGTATCTGTCGGTTGGGATCTGGCGGTTTGGATCTGGTGGTTGGGTGGAGTTGAGTAAGGGAATAGAGTAAGAACGGAAATAAAATGGATATATATCACTTTGAATTCGATTTCACAATTAAAGAGTTCAATTTTATCTTAAAAGGTGCATATGCACAGAGAATTTAATAAAATAGTAGAGATGAACTCTGAATCCACTCTGTCTTTTCAATGGCTTCGTATTGTGATTTCATTTACCGTGGCAGGCTATTTTTCAATTGAGATGATTGGAATACACACACTTTTTCCTTCCAGTATTTGTTGTTTGATGGAAATGTTACGAGAATTAATGATTTGATTTTACTTTTTATATCAGGTGATCGAGTTGAATGGGGGTTGATGTTTTGATGAATCGAAAAAATGTTACCGTTGTAATTATTGCTTTCATCACAATCTTCTGAGTACACTTCATTATTTATAAAAAATATTGCTACTCGCGTCACGTCTCATGCAACATTGTAGCATCATAACACAATAATATTTCAATATTGTAGAATTACATTACATTACTTTACATTGTCACTCTGAATAGTTTGAGTCACAATTTTCAATCTCCCGTTCGTCGTATTTGCGGACTTTCTTCTTATACTTACATCTATTCATCATCATCGTTTTACACTTCTTCGAAATTATTCATTTTTTTAGCGCATTTTCTCATTCATGGAAAAAATGCACTATTGTGCTCGCCATGTCCGTCTGTCTGTCTGTCCGTCCGTGTGTCCATCCGTCCGTGACCTCAAGTTTTCGTCGACGAGAAAATGCGCTCTCTGTCACTCACTGCAGTGAGTACTGAGTTATATTTTTTTATTCGTCACTTCGTTGAAAATCTTAATGGATTCAAATATTCATTATGTTTATCGTCCCCATAGATGTGCTGGTCTTATTGCAAGTACTGTTATTAGAACGCATGGGCGTCAAACAACTTCGTCGACAATCTGTCGATGTTATTTGATCACAAACCCGAGTCTTGCTCCAATGGAAGTCCAATTCCGAATAAATGAACGGGATTCTTGAAGGGCTTCCGAAATACGACTCTCCAAATCAATCAGAAATTTTGCCCCGACCTTGAGGAAAATCTTCAGATGATCATTACAGGCCAGCGATCAGCAGTCCATCATTTTCTGCGGGATCTAAAGCTCTCGTACTACGTCTTGTGGCTGTCCTTATAAGAGAGAGAGAGCCTCATTGAAATATTGAATAGACTTCGTCACTCAATGCTCAGTTATGTTTGGAGAGCGGATGTATTGATATACTGAATAAACTTCTTCATCACTCCATGCTCAGTCATGTTTGGAGAGCGGATGTGTTGATATACTGAATAAACTTCTTCATCACTCCATGCTCGGCCATGTTTGGAGAGCGGATGTGTTGATATACTGAATAAACTTCTTCATCACTCCATGCTCAGTCATGTTTGGAGAGCGGATGTGACTGAATAAACTTCTTCGTCACTCCATGCTCGGCCATGTTTGGAGAGCGGATGTGTTGATATACTGAATAAACTTCTTCGTCACTCCATGCTCGGTCATGTCTGGCGAGCTCACCATGTCTTCCGACAAATTGAAGTGTTGTGCCTGTAACTTTGAAGTCCATAACTATAAAGTTTGCCGCTCTGAAGTGTGCAACTATGAAGTTTGCAAATTTAAAATACGTACTGTTGAGTCTGTAACTTTAAAGCCTTAAATTCTGATGTCTGCAACTGTAAATTCTGCAACTGCTTATTGTCCAACTTTGCATTCTGCATCTGTGGAGTCTGCAACGGTGGAGTCAGTAACTTTGAAGTCTGCTACTGTGGAGTCCGCAATTGTGGATTCTGCTACTGAGAAGTCTGCAACTGTGGAGTCTGCAATTGCGGAGTCCGCAATTGTGGATTCTGCAATTGTGGAGTCTGCAATTGAGAAGTTTGCAACTGTGGAGTCTGCAATTGCGGAGTCCGCAATTGTGGATTCTGCAATTTTGGAGTCTGCAAATGAGAAGTTTGCAACTGAGAAGTTTACAACTGAGAAGTCTGCAACTTTGAAGTCTTCAACTGAGAAAATGAACCTTACATGAAAATGTGCCATAATATTCCCAAAATAGAGAGATATATTCGTGAAAAGCTTTTTTAGGAAAATTATGTTCGTGAACATTTGTTTTCGTTTTCATAACTCATTGTGCCTAAATGAATTTTAAGCTAGTCTCACAAACAGATTTTCATTTTACAAAATGAAAAAAAAATTTCATTTCAAAAGGACGCGTAGCTGACACCTCATGTATAATTTTTTAAACTAATTTTTATTGTTTCCTATATCATCAAGTGACTGTGTTTGAGTTGGAATTGTGTATGAAATTTTTTCACATTTACCACCATGTAAATATTTTCAATAAACCAAAGAAAAGCAAAAACAAAAGACAAAATCGAAAAATTTTTCTTAGCATCATTAAACAATTACTTTCAATCGAATATATGGAGTTTGCTATTGAATATATTCGAAGAAGTGAGAATATTCATCATTATTTACTAACACCCATTCCCCGCATGTGTCGAAGGAATTTTTGCGGAAGACTCCCATGACAAAAGCCTCTTATATTCTGTAGGAATATTTTAGGACGGCAGGCACTCGAGCGCTGCTCGCTCATCGATAAACCGTTGACGAGGTGCCCTGAAGACTTCATGCCTAGACCGGCGTATAGACCTAGGCGTATTGTGGATACTGAGCGTCTACGCCTTAATTAGGTCTACGTTTGCTGACTTATGAAAACAAGGCCCATATGAACGTTTGCGTTCATATCGGCGTTTGCTGACTTATGAAAATAAGGCCTATATGAACGTTTGCGTTCATATCGGCGTTTGCTGACTTATGAAAACAAGGCCTATATGAACGCCAAACTATGCAGCACGTTTGTTGTGAAGGCCAGACAATTGCATGTGCAAAATACTACATCCCGGTGCTGTTTGTTAAGAGAGAGCAGGGAGACGTGAATATATAAGTTATGACATCGCAGCACTGACATGTTATCGACAGTAATTCAATGAAGATAGATTCATAAGCCAAGGGCTTTATAATTAGTAATGGAATTCAACGGACAGTGGGATACTCAGCTACTAAATATTATATCTTCACGAACAAAGTCGAATGTGTTGCACATGTAACGGAATGTGTTAAATTGTCTTGGATTAAAGGAATTATCTTGGAAGATCGCCAGTAAATATTATGAAACATTATTGCACTCAGCAACATACCACGGGTGACATTATTTAAAAAACATAATATCACATTGCTTATCATCGTTTAATGTTCTCAACCGTGAAATTAAATAGTCAAACTTATTCACTAATTTGATCATTGAACCCAAAATATATTTTTTGTTCTCGACCTCCATTTGACGGTCCTAAACTTCAGGCTATAACTACCTGCCCTCTCCCTCCGTCCTCAAAAACTAATCTATTCCACAAATGAGGCAGTTTCATTATTGGCTCATTTTCTTCCGGTGGGCGTGAATAGATTTCTGTACACTGAGACTTGCTATAATAATCAATCGGTTCACTCTTAAGACATTGAGAGTTTAAAAATATTGAGGTCGACATGATATTGAGGCACTTAGCTTTAACGCATTATTCGTCTGATAAAAATACACTTAGCGGCGAGCTTAACAGTCCACTTTTTATACTGTATGACTCGGTTTTTGTGAATTGAAACAATTTTTGGCTAAAAAACGTAAAAGCGGCACATTTTACTATCCTATACTACACTATACTACATATACTAAACTATACTATACCATACTGTAATACATTTACAATGTTATACTATACTATAGTATACTATAGTATACTATACTATACTATACTATACTATACTATACTATACTATACTATACTATACTATACTATACTATACTATACTATACTATACTATACTACACTACACTATACTATACTATACTACACTACACTATACTATACTATACTATACTAAACTATACCAAAATATGCTATATTACTTCTCTTGCAACGGGCCTATTTTACCCGCGCCTCACTGCAGTACAGAAGCCCTACATGTTAACCACATGCTCACGTCTTCCCTCAGCTGTACGGGGACGTGCTAACCATGCACTCTGACGACTGCCCTAACGCTGTCGTCCACACGTCCAGCTCCCCCAAGAGCGAAGTCCAGGTCCTCTGGACCGCCCCGCCCGCGGGGTCTGGATGCGTCAGGTTCAGGTGAGCTTCGTGTTTCGTGGTCCAGTTAAGTTCTTTTATCGGGACCACATCTGGACACAATAATTCTGAATCTCATAACCGAATTACATAGATGGACATTTATTACTGAGCCTCACAGGTCGAAGTATGGTTTCGTTTCTGAAATCGCGCTCCAAGTAAGCGGTCTGTTAAGAACTTGGTTGGTTTCTTAAATCGTGCTCAAAGACAACCGACTAACCAGAATCGTCCGTAGTATTACCGATTTCAACATTACCTGGGCCATGATTTCTCTCTCACTTAACGTCGAGTTTTCAAATCTCCTGGATGTCAGATTCTTCGTTCAAAACTTTGACCTCCATTGTGACTAATTTATTATGGACCTAAATCAAACAGAGCATTCACAATTTACCTTACGGTTTACCTGTTAATGTTGCAGATGAGCCATAAACCGACATTTTAGCATTTTAGATCATATTTTTCGCACGCAGTTCAACAGGTTATGTAAGTAACAACACCTACTTTTCAGCAAGGTACTTGATCCCTCGAAATTACAGTGCACTGTTTCATGATATCCACTACACCTCTAATTTAAAGATTTCTATCGCGTGGAACACCTTGTATGATTTTATGAGTGCATTCAGTTCCACATGAAGTAGTTCACTCCAATCACACAGGAGAACTTATAGAATGCATCATTTATATCTCGTCTCTGTTTGCACATACTGCGTAAATATTAAAAAAAACAATACAGTTCAAAACTCCTAATACGCTTGCAGTTTGGATCACCCCTTGCACCATTGATTAATTTGATTCATTTAACCTCAAAAGACTTGCAGTTCGAATCGACCTGACCAAGTGCAATTTTAATTATTCTTGGAAACAGAAGTTCCAAGTTCCAATATTCAAATATTTCAACCAATTGGCCAAAATATTTACGTTTTCAATCATTTTAAACACCCGCTTTGAAGAGAATCTCAAACCATTACTCTAATCTTAAATTAGATTCTCAAATGAAATAAATAGATGAATAAGAATATGAATATAAAGAAATGAATAACATCAATAAATAGTATCAAAAACCTAAATTTGTGAATCATTGTTTTTTAACAAACCATTTTTGGCAAATCGTCATTGCTTTCAATAACGCATCTTAGGAATTTTAATGCTTTCAAACATCTGCTATGAAGATCATTTCAATTCACTGCAGTTCCTAACTTTAGCGGAAGTCTCGCATATTATACGCCCGATGAGTACCCTGCTTCAAGGCCGCGGCGGTAGCGCCATCATTTTCGTGATTAATTTAAAGGCCATTGATTAATAGTGAGCTGGCTGGGAGATTATTAAAGCGTCATAGCAGCGGTGTAAACCTCCTAACTTGGCCGCAGTGAGCCATAAAACTGAGATGCCACAGCTGCGCCACTAACTGCCAAGCCGCTCCAAATGCCGGTCTTGTCTGAGCTGCTCACTCCAGCCTGGCTATAGAGTCCCTAGTCTGGCACACGAAATAATTTTATAGGCGCTTTATTATAAGTAATCAAATTCAATGGACAATTAGATAAGGAATATTATATCTTAAAACGTCACATCAATGGTACTCCAGCTATTGAGGGTGTGGCCGAATATCGAAACTATCATGGAAACCATGAATTTAATGATACATTCTTCCACGCAGCAATATATCACGGGTGACAGTATTTAAAGAGACCAGAGCATCATATCATATCACATTTCATCAAATCAACATCAATAACTCATAATGTAATCTAGCAAGACCAGGAAACTTGAACTCAAAACAAAAGTTCAAGGAAGTCTAGATTCGGAGGAGCTAGGAGACACTTGACTGCATCACAATAATTAATGCCAGGATAATTGCTACCAAAAAGCAATTGTGAAGCAAATATATGGATTGCTAGAAGATCCTAGCTGTCAGTAAATGTAACAGCTTCTCACCTTACAACCACCTTTTCAGTGCAATGGTGTAGGGGAGCTGCACAGTATAGATTTCTCCAACGTCCTATTACTATGTAAATCATCACCATGCCAGCTCATCATTAATATTAGTGATGATTGCGCTATAACCAGAGCGATGGTGCAGGAGAGTCGGGAGGTGTGGTATTATCCATATTAATGATGACTGCACTATACCCAGAGCGATGGTGCAGGAGAGTCGGGAGGTGTGGTATATGGACGACGGTGAGCTGACGAAGGAGCTATGCGAGGAGGTGCAGCAAACCTTCGATCTGCAGCCTGAGGCCATCCTCGACTGCTGTGCCTGTGATGAGGCCAAGTATGAGGTAGTCGCCAACATAAAATTATACTTACCATTTATTAAGTGAAATCATCTATATCGGATTTGCATCATAAGATATCATGCGATGCGTCTATGAGAGTGAGCGTTGTTTGATGATAGTATGTTACGAAGTTACTTTAAGTTCCTTATAACAAGTTTACTGTGAAAATGTTAGGAACTGTACATTTTTAGTCCAAAAAACTTGAACATTCATACTTATATTGAAATCTATAGCCATGAGCATTAATAGCCCCCATCATCATTGTTCCCTCAGGTGACATTCGAGGGCCTTTGGTCCCGGCAGACGCACCCCAAAGACTTCCCCGCCAACGAGTGGTTGACGCATTTCTCGGACATCATCGGAGCGTCGCACTCTGACGACTACCGCGTATGGGAGTACGGCGGCTACGCCTCCGACGGCCTGCGTCAGGTGGCAGAGTGGGGCTCCACCAGGACCCTGGAGAGCGAACTCAAAAGACAGGTGATCTCAGCGGGGTTTAGTGGGCTTAGAACTACTTGAGGAGGATTGAAAGTTCGCGTGAGCTGGATGATGTCTAAGTCTGCGTGAGCTGGATTATGTAAAATCCACAGGGTTATGGCATAACTGGAGACACCTAAAACCGAGCTGGCAAGTCAGTCGAGCTTTGTCAGAACATAGGAATTTGAAACGAGGCTCGGAGTAAACGCCAGAGTGTAAAGTGAGCCCGAAAAGGTCCAAACTCTATCGTGTTATGGATGGCAGTGAATGGAGAGTTAAAGAGAACTGATGAGTGCTTTATTGAAGTGAAGTGAAGTGGAGATAGGAGTGAAGACTTGAATATTCAGTGAATCTTAACATGGAGTTGGTTGAAGTGCAGGCAGGATACAGTAAATTTTAAGACCTTTGGGAGGTATAGAGGAAAGATGAGTTAGAGAGACGACTATGTTGTGCTGAGAGGCTCATAAGGTGAGTGGAAGTTTTGATACAAGGTGAATGCTGGAAGATTGTTGAGCTAAGCTGAGGTTTAATGTGGTTAAGTTTTGGGTTGAACCAGAGATCGGCGAAGTAGCCGATAGCGATCCTTGAACGTCGAAGAAAGAACTCAACGGCGCTGATTAATTTATGAGGTCAGAAGTGTGTTGATTAAGGAAAGCAGTAAAAATTTCTTTTATGATTACATCTACAAGCCACTACATCTATTTTTATCCTATATCAGTGAAGACTGCCTCTTCTTTTAATGTATGACTTGAAATATTTAATTTTAAAACAACATTAGTCGTTTTATCTGAACAAATGCTTTTCAGTATTGTCATCAAACAAGTGATTGTTGGCTTTACATTTTTTCATTTACTTACAAGCGGAAGGCGTGGATTAAAATAAAAATATAAAATGAAATGGTCGTCGGCTCAAAAAGCCGACGTCCTTGGCCGTCGTGTTGAAGATTCTCCTAAGTTTAAAACAAACTTTTCTAATTCTTTAGAGTGACCACATCCGCACCATCATCAAAGCTCGGGGTTTATGGTATCCTAACGTCAACGGCAAAACATTCGCGGTCTTCAGAGTCGACAACAAACACCATCTCATGTCACTCGTGTCCATGTTGGGTGAGTTCGACATGGTGACAACTACCAACCACGTAAACCTAACGTACAGTAAGTATTTTTAGTGCGTTTTCCCAAAAGAAATTCCGAGCGTACAGTCGGGCATATTTAGGGAATGTTCTTGCGTGGATAGATTTAAAATTTGCTTCTGGTCACATGGATGGAACTACTTACTTCGTCTCCAACTTGCTAGATTGAAAGAGGAATTTTGCTACATAAATAGCATTTTAGTTAATTAAGGCTGCAAATTTCATTTCACAAGGATGTAATTAAGAATTGAATGCCACTGGCTTACACAATAAGAGTGCGAATTGAGTATATTATTTCTGTTATTTATTTATATGCAATGTATCATTTGAATAAATTTAGAAACAATTATTGAGTCTGCACAATAATATTTTGCTCTATGCATTAATGAACTTTAAAATCATTTCATATCAATCCGTTTTTGATAATTTAATTATATTATCGAAATAAATGAAAATATTTTAGATTGTAATGCAAGATTAGGAATGCATGACCAGGGCCTATACTTTCAAAAAAAAGTTAAGAGATCGTAAGTTCATCCGCCAATCATTGACGGCCTTTCAAGCAAAATCCTCCAATCATAGACCAGAAAATAGAGCGTAAATACTTACGTTCACTTAGCCAGTTTTGAAAGTATGGCCTCTCAGCAGTGGAGGGCCAGCAATGCATGACCAGCAATGCATGACAAGGATCAGGTAAACAAAATGTTTACATGCCCGCAATGTATCGCAATGCCCTCCATAGGTACCACAAAACGGTACCTGTGGAGATAATACCCCGAATCGCAATTCCCACAGGTATCATAATAGGTCAGTAATGCCCCGTACCACCGTCTCCCCACAACTTCCCCAACACGGACCATAACGCCCCGTATCGCAGTCCCCCAATAAGTCCCCAACACGGACCATAATGCCCCGTATCGCAGTCCCCCACAAAAGGTCCCCAACACGGACCATATTGCCCCGTATCGCAGTCCCCCACAAANAGCGACTCATGGAACGTCACTTTTATCTTTCTGACGAATACCATTAATGGCTGACTGATGTTAAGATGAAGAACTGTCTCTTATACACATCTAGATGTGTATAAGAGACAGCCTCCACACAGGTCCCCAACACGGACCATAATGCCCCGTATCGCAGTCCCCCACACAGGTCCCCAACACGGACCATAATATCCCGTATCGCAATATTGCAGGACCGTCCCCCGACTGGATAGTGGGCGTGTCGGCAATGGAGCTCTGCCTCAAGAACTGCTCGTGGGTGGGACAGAAAACCATCAACCTTTATCCCTGGGACGCAGGGACGGACTCCGGCGTCACCTACATGGTTGGTTCGCAGAATGATTGTTATATCCATGTGGATTAAGTGCCCGTGATTGTATAGTATATTCTATATGGACTAACTGTCTATTATTGGATAATATTCGTATAGAATACCTATAATATGAGTGTAAACCACCAAGTGCTTGATTTGTACCCCATGAGGCTGCCAATTAACAAGGTTTTATTATTGATGTTATTGTCATACACACACCGTCAGCCATAATTAATAACAAATACTAAGATGCAATACTCAATCAATTAAGTGCAACTCGAAATTTACTGTAGGACACCAACAACCGAAGCCTAGGGAATTGCCGCCGCGTGATGTGATGTTTGGCGAGTGTTATTATTTTTTCAGTTCCAAATGTTCTTTGCTGATAATAAAGGACCTCCACTTGGTAATCTTGAGACTAAATAAATTGTCACATTAATTAAATTAAACTGCCTATAAGTTGCAGGCACGCCGTTAGTTATGACGCAAGTTTTGGACTGTTTTGTTTGATTTTTATTTTATATGTTGAAGCTGGGTATCTTTTAGAAAATTTTTATTTAAAGAACGAGTTTTCCGTAACTCGGTAAATACGAACGCTCTTGGGCTGATCCATTGCCGGTACTTGACGACCCTCGACGCGGAGATGAAATAATATTTATATCAGGACATAAATATAAATATCATATAAATATTATATCAACATAAGTATCATAAAAATAATATTTATGTTTATGCTATAGGGCCTTCCTATAGAAAGTTTCTTCATTGGGTATTAAAATTTCAATTTTGGGGTATAATAATTTCAGGAATAAAACCGCATTTTACGAGAAATCATTAAAAATCCGTATCATTTCTGTACATTTGATCTTCAAAACGCCTCTTTGCATTTAACCCTAAAAAAATTTACCAAGATTTTAACCTGAAGTTTGGCATTTCTAAAGTGATTCAAAATAAAATTTCACGGAAGTTTTCCCAGTTCGATTCTTATTGCACAGCAGGTAATGTCTAGAGAGTTTTTACGAAACGAGCTTCTTGAATTCCGTGAACAAGAAGCGCCTGTGAGCAAAGTCCTGGAACTTCCTTGATCGCCAGAGAAGCGCCGAGAAGGAAATCGCGGCCGCCTTCCTTCTCATTAAGCGATCTTTAACGACTTCCGTCCTAAATCTACGTAGGAGTTAGCAGCGTCTTAATGTACAAAATACTGCTTTTTTAGAACTACGCTCTGTAATTACGATATTTCTTTCCATATTACGGACTGCAGACAGAAATAAATCACGGCAAAACATTCACGAGCCGTGAATGCTTTGCTCCATCCCTATATAATTGTTAATTCATAATCTTTCCTTTTCAGCGCTATAGACTCTAAATCTTGTTTCACGGTATAGAGGATAAGAGTTCAATTTGTATTAATTGATGGAATGCATTGGATTTTTAACTGTTTGTGATCATCTTCATAATGTATCCATAACAGTAAAACTTCGTTTAGGCAAAGCCGATATTTTCATGTCGCTATTGGTGCTGTAGATTAATTACTCTTATTTTCGGAATACGGGATTACGAGGCTATAATCATAATAGTTAGCAATTAAAATGTATAAAAAACTTGTATGATCTTCCGTAACGTTATTTTGCCCATGTTTCGGCTCGTGATCATGAACAAAAATATTCGCTTGCCAGCAGAAGTTAAACTATTATAATATTTTATCAATTTCTATTTTCAGTAATTATTAAATTGAATATTATAGATGATGTGTAGAACGACCCGATATGTAAAGTCACTGGAACCATGAAATGTGTTATTGCAAAATCAGATAACAATTGGTTATTCTTTCCATCATTCCGATTAATGGCCCATAAAACACGGGCATTTGAGACGGTGTATCACAAAGTCGTTTAGACCAAAGAACCAACTTCAAAAAATCATCAAGCGATGGATTCATTGCTTTATCTCGTTTGTTATATTTCGCTGCTATGAATAAATCTTGTTATGTTAGTCATAATAGTCGATACTTGTCAAATTTCTGACATGACTGTATTTTCTATCGTCAGTCCGCGAACCAGGCGACAATCCCAAGACAGCGAATTACCAAAATCACCAACAGTTACCCTAACGACGAGCAATCTCCTTTTTACGAGCCCCGTGGCCTCCCCATGAAGCCGCTCGCTCGACTCACCATCACCCGCCAGAGGGTCTACGAAAAGTCCTGCTCCGACACAGGCATTAGCGACGAGGACTCGCTGCCGGACTCCGACGAGGACGCCCTCCGACGTGAGTAGTGGGAGTGGTGGAGGGTGGGGAGGTGGAGGAAAATGCTGCTGGACTCCGACGAAGACGCCCTCCGACGTGAGTAGTGGGAGTCGTGGAGGGTGGGGAGGTTGAGGAAAATGCTGCAGCAGTCTGACCACTACGACATGCAACCGACGTGAGTAGTGGGAAGGTTGTAGTGGTTGGGGTTTGGGGGATGGCTGGGGGAAAATGCTGATGAAACAGGTGTTCTGGCAATAATTACGTAGCCTTTTGGTACAACCAGTGCATTAGTTATTGTGGTGGTGGTGGATATGAATAACGTTCAGTAATTACAAGCGATGTGCGCATTGGATGAGTAAGTGCTTTCGTATTTTATATTGTATTTGATTTTACTCACTGACGTGAGTCTTCAACAGATTGATGGTGTGAGTTTTACACTGTCTGTGAGCTGTTCAGGAGATCGTCTCAATAAGAGCACTTGCTTGGTGGGCGTTGATATGAGCTTCCACCGATGCAGTTTCGTATTCTCTTTACGTTTACAAAGCGACTCATGGAACGTCACTTTTATCTTTCTGACGAATACCATTAATGGCTGACTGATGTTAAGATGAAGAATTAACAAGATGGCTGACTTATGAAGGGACTAAACATTATTCAGACTTAAGAGAAAAGCATGGACATTCGCATATACTCATATTTCTTTATGCAAGCAAGAGATACCTGTTCCCATTCCAAGCAAACACACAAAGTACTTAATTTATTTACTATTACTGATAATTATACGAAAATTAAACGAAATTTGATAAAGATATGATGCCAGCAATAACAATTGTAAAAACAACTAACTTACAGATTTTGAATTAGTAATCCCTCAGATCAGCTATACCTTCAACTGATGACTTGTTTCGGAAACAAGTTCTCTCTCAAATTTGAACAGTCTGTGCATCAATTATATTTATTTTATCATTAGATTCGTTCCAACAATTAGAGGTTCGTTCTAGACATTAAGCTGCTCAGAGTTTATCTGTTCTTAATTGTTCAACAATTTTAGAATTACGTCGAGCAGATTCGAACCTCTTCAATTTTAATAATTATTAATTGCGAACATTAAAACTTCTACGAACGACGCATTACTCATTATTCGCAGCTCAATGCATGACGTGTAGCGTGATCGAGTCAAACGTGATTAAAATTATTACTAATGATTGAAGTATGTAATTACTGATTGATCGAGTATTTAATGAACTGAGCGATATTGAAGACACTTTAATTTATGGAATCTGTAAAAATTTCATGACTGTCAAAGTCCTTCCAATTTTCTGACTATCTGTAGAAAATTAAATGCAAATAATCCCGCTGAATCCTAAATAATGGGCGAAGACCATATCTATATCGAACCCTGTGCAAGTCTAATAGCTATTTCAAACTATCGTCAGTCCTGAAAAGATCCGGTCAAATGACACGATTTTAGATCTTCTGTGAACAAGTCACGAAAAATACAAGAATCGGCGACAGGCCACATTAGGCCTACTCGTCAGCTCCGACATCACTATGTTATGTTATGTTATATTATACCTATAATATTATGGAAAAAATTACGAAATATGGTTGCAAAAATGAAAGTGGCATCTATGTGGTCAGAGAAGTTATACCCCCGACAAACTCAGTTGTAGGCTCCTTCATTAAGAACTTTTAAATGCATCGTGAATCTCATGTTGTTCAATGCAACGAGACTGGCGTCAACAAATAATTTACGGCAAATAAAATGACTCGCAACTTTTATATATCTTCTTGGAAAAAGGTTGGGAGTCCAGCTCAGTCGTCAGTTCTAAAATCCTGAAAAAAATGTTAAATTTCTAACAAAGTATAACTGGAGCCAATATAACCGAAATTGACGAATAAGAAACGTTGAAACGAGAAATAATCTATAAAAGTCAAGCCTGGCAATCTACAGTTTTGATCGGATACGAACTAAAACTTGCCTGCAAACTAGCTTTATATTTGAGAATTTGCAGGGAAAAAGTTGAAAATTCGCTTAGAAACAGCAGATGATGAGGCAAAATTTCCAGATTAATATCGGGCATGGACGTTGCATCACTCGGCGTGAATGCGTGCAGCTAAGTTGGGAAATGAGATTTCCAGTTCGATAATTTTTCTTTTTATTTTCCGCCAGCCAAAAATAGAAGTTGCTTGTGTGACGTCACAACGATACATGCAGAAACGTGGTTCGCTGCACACAACGTACGTAAGTGCTGATTCGTGACGCTTAAGTACCAAATTTTCGAACTGACAACGGAGCAATGGTGCAAAACGTTTTAAAATATTAGATCAATTATCCCTGCAGTTAGTGACGGAGAGCACATTTCTCGTCCGTCCGTAAAGTCACTGACAGACAGACGAAGATGACGAGCACAAAAGCACATTTTTTTCATAAATGATAAAATGCGCTAAAATTGGAAAGGTGAATTATTTGTTTTTGATTATAATCTTGGGGCTCACGGATTCGAATGATTTCAAAAAATGTGCCAGCAAGTGCCACGATAGACCAGGGAGCTTCGTGTCGGAGCTCAGGCATCTCAACTATTCGTCGTTTTGATATTTAAACTAATCTCCCACTAAAATCAAATTTCAATGGCACCATTTGCGAGACCAAATTATATTTATGTGTTCATAATAGCACAGCAACAACGCCGTTGAGGAAAAGGCCATTTTGGCCTTTAGCCATATATAGGCCCGGGCCCTATTTGAGTTTTCTCGATTAATGTTTCGGGAAAATGACCAAATAATAAAAATTAATTCTGTAATCATTTGTTGCTAGGAAACCAAGTAAGTTGAAGGCTTGCGTTTACGATCGATTAGTTTAAATCTGTGCAGTTTAATCCAGTTTTTTAATCTCTGCAGCTAAATTTACCTTTGTTAAATAAATTCCCATACATATTTTTTAAGTACCTATATTAAGTTAAAGCCCCTTCAAATACATTCGATTTTTTTCTCCCGCTTTTCAAGATTATTTCTTTACAGGCTTATCTGTTCCTCTTCCACCTCCTTCCACCTACGACAAGATTAGGTTTTTAAGAAGCCATCATGCATTACTCTGGGCAATAAGTCAAGCTTCGCCGGAGTATGAGCATGCGAGATTAATGTTGCATGCCATTTTTCACGCTAGCCTTTCGAAGCGGTCATGGCTGATGCCGTGGCTGCGCGATAAAAAAACGTCAAGTATTCGATCATATGATACCAGGTATACGCATAGACGATTATTTGTGATGAGGAAAATATTCAGTTGTTTGTTTTGGTAGTTCCTTCAGCATATGATATTCGATTCATCAACTGCTTTCCATTTCATCTACAGGAAATATTCATCTTTGACAACAAATGGATTAAATTAAGTTTTTATTTATAAATTATTACAATGGTGTCCTGGATTCTACTGATTTTTCTTTTCTAGATTGTAAACATTGCTGAGGCAAAAAGTTTTCTTGTCTGCAATAAAAATTAGAGAAACATGTTCTCATTACTTCGCAACATTCCATGTGCCAAGAAACCATGAGTGATAAAAAAAAATGTTGCTGCAGTTTGCCAGTAAGAGAGTACAGCTATTTTTTAAAGACCTACGCTGAAAATGAGTTTTAACTGCCGTAATTAACTGAAGAAATGTTGTCGAACGCCTGTGAGTATCAATGTTTCACACGCAAATAGTAAGGCTAATTGCCTGTGAAAATTGTTAAATTGTTTGATTCTCTACCATTGACAGTGAATTTAAATTTTACTTTGGCACTTCTTAATATGGTACCGTAATTTATTCAAGGGCAAATATGTTCTACTTTAATCACTGTTTTCGTATCCGTACTATGCACGACCAATCAGCAGGATACGTAAGAGTTTTAATGCCCAATTCGAATTTTTATCCCCCTGAATTATTTTCTTTTTTGCTCGGATGAAATCTCTAAAATACAGAACAAAAATATTTCAAGTTGAAATAATCTAATGAGTAGTAAATTTTGTATTTGGTAATACTGCCAATATGAAATACAATAATGTTCTGATTGGCAATAGTAATGACTATGCAAAATTATGCATAGGTATTTTGTGGCTGCAATTAACTATAGTATATTTCAGTTGACGTTTGTTGAGGTTCATCGTCTGCCAAGCAGCCGATGTCAAAGCTAACAAAAACCATCATTAATACTCGAACATAATTGAACAAAGCCAGAGATGACATTTTTTACCAATTATTCAACAAGAATTGATGAATCAAGAGGATCAGTAAAAACATGAATTGGTAAATCATGGGTATCAGTCAATAATAATAATATTAGGAATAATAATAATAATACTAATAATTATAATAATTATAATGATAATGACAATCAGTTAATAAGCTAGAAGGGCAGCCTTGACTATTTCCGCAGCCAAAATAAAATGTCTTTTTTCAAATAAGGTAAAAGAGTAATCGTTAAATTGCTTTAAGTTCTAAAGACTTGTTTTGGTGTTTCGCTGCTCATGGATTGAAGCTCGCTGAGCTGATCGAATTCTGATGGGAAATTTGCGTGCGAGATCCTCGCCCCGGAGCTGCACTGCGCCTCGTCTCACTCTATTATTTTATTCCTTTACATTATCCTGTGTAAAGATTCCTCTACATTATTGATTCCTCTACTGTGTAAAGATTCCTCATTAGCCTATTGCTCTACATTATCCTATGTAAAGACAGGGCGATATTTTAGTACGGCTTGACTATTGCTTCTGTTTGGTGCTCCGACAGACTATATGCCTCGTGTTTGGTGTTGCGGCAGACTATATGCCTCGTGTTTGGTGTTGCGGCAGACTATATGCCTCGTGTATGGTGTTGCGGCAGACTATATGCCTCGTGTATGGTGTTGCGGCAGACTATATGCCTGAACATGCAATGGCTTAGGGTTGCACTTCATCATCGCATCGAATAAAAATGTTCAGATTGAATTATTAGAGCCGTGAGGGCATGAATCGATTTTTTCGACCATTTCCAGATAATGAAAAATACG